GCAATATTCCATCCTTATGGATAAAAGCGTTTCGGATGCCGATCTTTGGAACTTATCACAAGGATCAAATGAATCACTTCGAGTTTTCATCACCAAGTTCAAAGGAGTGCTGTCAAAGCTCCCAAGAATCTCACAACAATCAGCTTTATCTGCCTTACGAAAAGGATTGCGACATGATTCAAGATTTAAAGAAGATTTAATACTTCATAAACCAGACAAAATTCAGGATACACTCTTCCGCGCAAACAACTGGATGGAGGTAGAGGACGAAAAAGAAAGTTTTGCCAAAAGAAATAAGCAAGAGAAGCCGGCAATCACCGTCCCTACCAAAAAGTTTGAACCCAGGGAGAACAAAGGACCAAAGAAATTTGGGTCGCAACCCTTCAACAGTACCGTCGGAAAGCAATTCCAAGGGAAAGGAAGATCAAACACTTGGGTCCGTGATGAAAGTTTATATTGCGACATTCATAAAGTGACCGGACATTTAACCAAGGATTGTAGCATTCTTAAAAGGCACCTCGCAGAGCTTTGGGCCAGTGGAGATCTTTCCAAATTCGATATAAAAGATTTTGTGAAGGAATACCACGAAGCAAAGGAAAATTCCAAAGATCAAAATTCCAAAAGACCAAGGTTAACCAACGAGGAAGAACCAAGGAATTCTAAGGGTAAGATCAATGTTATTCTAGGAGGTTCCAAATTTTGTCGAGAATCGATAAGTTCCATCAAGAAACATAGACGAAATGTCCTACTCAAAGCAAGCTTGAGCGAAGAAGTCGATTTTCAAGGTGCATCAATATCATTTAATGAAGAAGAAACGCGGCACCTCGAAAGACCTCAAGATGATGCTCTAGTCATTACCCTTGACGTTGACAACTTCGAAGTGTCAAGGATCCTTATAGATACAGGCAGTTCGGTCGACTTGATCTTTTTAAGTACTTTAGAAAGAATGGGAATTAGTCGGGCGGACATAGTGGGGCCTCTGTCCCTATTAGTTGCATTCACAAGTGAGTCAGCCATGTCTCTCGGGACAATCAAGCTACCGGTCCTTGCCAAAAAGGTATCAAAGATCATGGACTTCGTTGTCTTCGATAAGCCCGCAGCTTACAACATCATCCTCGGGACTCCCTGGATCTATCAAATGAAAGCAGTCCCCTTTACATATCATCAATGTATCAAATTTCCAACATCAAGAGGAGTGGAAACAATTCGGAGAGATCAAGAAGCTTCACGGACGTGTTATCTAGCTAGCCACCGTATGAAGATTCAATAGCAATTAACGAAGCCCGCAAAAGAGGGACTAAGAACAAAATTTCCTAGCGGGCAGAAAAAAGATGATATAGTAATTGAAGTGGTGTTGGAAGAAGACAAACCGGACCGGAAAATTCGAATTGGGACAACTTTGACTGGCCAAATAAAAGAAGCTTTGATCGAACTTTTGAGAAAAAACATAACATCATTCCCATGGTCTGCAGCAGATATGCCCGGCATAGATCCAAGCATAATTTGTCATGAACTGAACGTGGATCCAAGCTTCAAGCCGGTGAAACAAAAAAGAAGAAAGCTCGGAGTGGAGCGAGCAAAAATAGTAAATGACGAAGTAGATAAACTTTTGAAAATAGGGTCCATAAGAGAAGTGCAATACCCGGAGTGGGTAGCAAACACTGTCGTTGTCAAGAAGAAGAATGGAAAAGATAGGGTTTGCATCGACTTCACAGACCTCAATAAAGCATGTCCTAAAGACAGTTTCCCGCTCCCACATATAGATCGACTTGTAGAGTCCACCGCTGGGAACGAGCTGTTAACATTCATGGACGCCTTCTCGGGTTATAATCAAATAATGATGAACCCCGAAGACCAAGAAAAAACATCATTTATCACTGATAGAAGTATCTATTGTTACAAAGTGATGCCTTTTGGTTTGAAAAATGCAGGAGCAACTTATCAACGGTTGGTTAACAAAATGTTCCATAATCATCTCGGGAAGACAATGGAAGTCTACATAGATAATATGTTGGTTAAGTCATTAAAGACAGAGGATCACATTAAGCATTTAGAGGAATGTTTTGATATTCTCAATAAATATCAAATGAAGCTGAACCCGGCGAAGTGCACATTCGGAGTCCCATCCGGAGAATTTCTTGGCTATATTGTGATAGAAAGAGGGATTGAAGCCAATCCAAATCAAATTAACGCTTTTCTAAATATGCCATCTCCAAGAAACTTCAAGGAAGTACAACGGTTGACTGGGCAGATCGCGGCTTTGAATCGTTTTATCTCAAGATCAACAGATAAGTCGTTACCTTTCTACCAAATTCTAAAAGGAAACAAAGGATTCCTTTGGGACGAGAAGTGTGAAGAAGCTTTTGGGCAGCTTAAGGCATACTTAACCACTCCACCTATACTCTCCAAACCAGAAGCAGATGAAAGACTTTATTTGTACGTGTCAGTTTCAAACCATGCGGTTAGTGGAGTCTTGGTTCGGGAGGACCGCGGGGAACAGAAACCAATTTACTACGTAAGCAAGTCAATGACGGATCCGGAAACCAGATACACAATGATGGAAAAACTCGCACTCGCGGTGGTGACTTCGGCCCGGAAGCTGCGCCCATATTTTCAATCCCATCCGGTTGAAGTATTAACCAACCAGCCACTCCGAACAATACTTCATAGTCCAAGTCATTCCGGACGTTTGGCGAAATGGGCGGTGGAATTAAGCGAGTACGATATAGAATTCAAGAGTCGGGTCAGTATGAAGGCTCAGGTTTTAGCAGACTTCTTGACCGAGCTACCAATACCTGGAACGATAGAGCAACCAGAGAACCAAACTTGGAAATTACATGTAGATGGGTCTTCAACAAAGCAAGGATCCGGAGTGGGAATCAAGTTGGAGTCTCCAACATCAGAAATTCTAGAACAGTCATTCCGATTGTTATTCAATGCCTCCAACAACGAGGCAGAATACGAAACCCTGATTGCCGGACTTCGATTGGCACAAGGAGTTGGAGCTAAGGAAATATTGGCTTATTGCGATTCGCAGTTAGTAGTTAACCAGTTTAATGGAGACTATGAAGCCAAAGACTCAAGAATGGAAGCATCCCTCGAAGTGGTGAAGGATCTATCTAAAAATTTCTCGAAATTCGAATTAATCCGCATACCTCGGGGGGAGAATACAACTGCGGACGCACTTGCCGCATGGGCGTCAACATCAGATCTGAGTTGAAAAGAGTTATTCCAGTGGAATGCATTTCGGAGCGAAGCATTCAAGACAACAAAGAAAACCTCGTCGTTACAAGGTCTCGAGCAGCGGCACGTGACCGTGGCGAACCAGAGATCGAACCTCCGCCCAACAAATGGAGGAAGTCAAGGGGATCAACACATCTAACAAGGAATCCGTTGTCTTAAAAGAAAAATGTGATTCCAGAAACGATATTAGAAACCGAACCGTTAATCGAGGAGGACGTTCTTGAACCAAACGAACATCCCGAGCCAGAGCCACGAGTATTTCACAAGGTTGACCAAATTCCGGCTAAAGACTGGGGGGCTGACTGGAGGGAGCCAATAAAACACTACATCATGACAGGTGAGCTCCCAAAGAATAAGTGGCAGGCCAGGAAAATGAAAATCGTTAGCGCAAAATTTTGTCTATCAAAGGATGCGTTATATAGACGAGGTGTCAGTGACCCTTACCTATTATGCATTTTTGGGCCCGAAGTCGAAATCGTCATGAGCGAAGTGCATGAAGGATTATGTGGGAGTCATTCATCAGGAAGAGCTATGGCTTTTAAAGTTTAAAGAATGGGATACTATTGGCCCACTATGATCACGGATTGTGTTAAATTTGCCCAAAAATATAAGCGCTGCCAACTCCATGCACCATTGATCCATCAACCTTCGGAGTTATTCTCTTCCATCTCCTCCCCGTACCCGTTTATGAGGTGGTCAATGGACATCATTGGACCATTGCACAGATCAACTCGAGGTGTACAATATCTTTTGGTCTTGACGGACTACTTTTCGAAATGGATTGAAGCTGAGGCATATGTTGGCATCAAGGATTCGGCGGTAAAGACTTTCATTTGGAAGAATATTATATGTCGACATGGAGTTTCGTATGAAATAGTCACCGATAACGGGCCACAATTCATTTCACAAGAGTTTGATGCCTTTTGTGCGGACTGGGGAATCAAAGTCAGTTACTCTACTCCACGATATCCGCAAGGAAACGGTCAAGCTGAAGCCGCGAACAAGACGATATTGAGCAATCTCAAGAAACGATTGAATCATCTAAAGGGAGGATGGTACGAAGAACTCCAACTCGTCCTATGGGTCTATCGTACAACCCTTAGGCGACCTACCGGAGAAACTCCATTCTCTTTGGTTTATGGCATAGAGGCAGTAGTACCAACTGAACTCAACGTGCCCGGACTTCGCCGAACAGAAGCACCATTAAATGAGGAAGAAAATTCAGCAATGCTTAATGATTCACTAGATACCATAAATGAAAGGCGTGATCAAGCTTTGATTCGGATTCAGAATTACCAGCAGGCAGCAGCCCGATATTACAATTCTAAAGTTAAAAGTAGGCCGTTCTTCGTGGGAGATTATGTGTTAAGGCGTATCTTTGACAACAAAAAAGAAGAAGGTGCCGGTAAACTCGGTATTAATTGGGAAGGACCTTACATTATTACCGAAGTGGTTCGGAACTGTGTTTATAGATTGAAAGACTTAGAAGACAGGCCAGTCAAGCGACCTTGGAATGTGATCAACCTAAAGAAGTTTTATGTTTAAAGCTACATGCATTTTTTATGTACATGAACTACGGTGTGGCTTGATCCCGAAATGGGTACGTAGGCAGCTCGGAAACGAGTTCAGCTATTAATAAAAATTTGTTTTATTTCTGTATTAAAGTAAAGGTTCGGCTATGCGAACATACAAGAGATTGGAAGCAAAATATTTATTCAAACGAACAAGACAAAGTGTCGATCTTCGCACACTTCGAGTTAAGAAAACCCTCCCAGAGAGCAATGCGAGCAAATTCGGAGAAAACCCTCCCAGAGAGCAATGCGAGCAAAGTGTCGATCTTCGCACACTTGAACTCCTTGACCAGCAAGATCAAGAACTGGCATCATACAATCCGGGATACGAGCAAATTTGGAGATTCCGAGCTCAATCCACTCTCCGGGGTGAGAACTAAGGATGTGAAGATCCCTTGATATCGCAGTGACCCTGCGCTGCATTCGATGAATCTTCTTCCGAAGTTTTTTCTTTTCCAGCGATAGCTTCCTGTGTTGAATTGCGAGCACTTTGATAAAGGCCATCGCAATCTCCCGGTCTCTATCTGGGAGGTTCTTGATCAAAGCGCATGGAGCTCGGATCTGAGATCTGAAAAAGCCGCGAAGTGGAGAAGATCGTCTACTTGGAACATCTGGAACATCTTCGTCCATCATTCCGATCCTAGAGAAGTCCGGCATAGACTCCGAACATCGAAGGTTAAAATCCATATCTGCAGAAGTGAGAAGAATAGTGAGAAATAAAGGGAAGTTGAAGCTATAATTTATAGGGACTTCATGTCCCTAGCAAGCAGCAGATTCAGCCCGGAAATGGAGTGATTCGCGGCGAGATTTATGCCCTTAAATCAATCCTGCATTAAAAGACGCATCTCCGAGAATATTTGAAGAGAAAGGAAAGTTGCAAATGTTTCCATAAATAAAAAAGGGCCGAAGCCCATTATGAGTTCAAAGTGAGTGGAAAGGTTAGAGAACATTTATGGAAGAGGCTCAGGAACAGGCTCCTTCATCGCCGTTTTAGTTTTCGAAGTGGACGCCTTGTTCTTGGCGTCCACCTCGGAACAATCCCGAACGCGTTTCCGACTGGTGCTGGCCTCCTCTTCGTCTTCTTCCTCGCTATCAGATGGAACGGTATGGACCAGAGCATTCACAGGACCCGGAACTCCTCTAGCACGGAGATACATCCGAAGCATCTTCGGGATCTCAGCAACAGAATCGAAGTTCCGCCATTCCCATTGAAAGGGATCACTTTCCAAAGCCCGTATCTTCCTCTCCACCCGAGCAATGCGAGCCTCGAGTGTTTGCCTTTTGAGGCCTAGCCGCTGCCTCTCTTCACACAAGCGACGGTGTTTGTCGGCAACCTAGCATAAAGATGAATGAATAAGATGAAACAAAAAGCTTTTAATCAAAGACGACATATATTAACCTTGTCAATAAAGTCGCAAGCCTCTTTCTTCTCCTTTGAAGGAAAGTGAAAGACGGCGTGAGGGAAAAGAACGCCGGCCGGTTCAAAGCCGTCGCCGGACAAGAATAGTGGGCTGCCAGGATCAATGGGGGCTACTTTTTCGTTTTCCATTCTCGTAATATTTCTCAAGTAAGATTCTAAAATCGTATTTAAAGAAAGCTTAGAGGTAGGTAAGCCTTTATTTATAATGGTTTAGGGTTTTATCTTGGAACCATAAATCCAATAATGATAGTGTGCCCGAGTGGTTTAAACCATTTTTGGAAAATCGAGAAAAGGAAGATATTGCATTAAAGACGAGCCGTTTTCCTACTTTTAAGAAATAAGAAGGGAAAGAGCAACCGTCGCATTAACTACAAAAGTTTCTAAGGCCCAAGCCCAATAAATTTACCGAGTTTACTAAACCCGAAGTGGGGAACTCGCTTTAAGCTGAGCTCAGTTCTCGCATTCTTAAGAGAAAGGTCTGATCAGCCTAAAAAACTAAAAAGCATAACCACAAGGCCACAAAGGGTTAAAAGCGGACTTTGCAAACCCGCACATAATTTTAACCGAACCCCCTTGGGGTCAAAACATAGAAAGGTTTAAAAGCCTTCTCAGGAAAATATCTTGTTCAAAAGAAATAATAAAGCCTCCTTAGGCAAAGACAAGTTCGAAATTAAGTTTTAAAATAAATGGGACAATTCCCAATTCAAAGTGGACGCAGCCACTACGGAGTGATATCCACCTCGGACTCCGGCTCAGCAACCGAAGTTTCATTCACCTCCTTGACTGGTGCTTGGTCAGGTGGAGCTCTTGGTCCGCCCTCTACATTACAACCATCCTCCGGAGTGACCTCCGGTGCAGCAGGAACTTCGGGTGGGACGACATCTTCCGTCTCACTTGAGCCTGGGAAGGGCAGTCCTAGTCAATTTTAAAAACATAAGGTGAGGAAAAGGTAGTAAGAGGTACCTGCCCAGTCTAGACCCACTTATAGGAGGCGATTCAGTGAAGAATTCCTCGAAGTCCTGCAGGTTGAAGGTCGAAGTAGGAAGAGCTGCCAAGCGACTCCGCTTTTCAGAAAGATTAGCCGATAGTTCGGTCCTCTCTTGTACCTCGGAGAAATCTGTTTCATGGATTTCATCGATCACAATCAGATTGCTCTCATGCTCCTTGATGTCTGACTCCAGATCTGACCTAGCTTTCTCGGTTTGAATGAAGCGGATGGCTCCTTGGATCAACTCCATCCCGCGTCCCTTAACCTCCTTTCTGGCTTTCGATGCCGACCTCGCCAACTCAGAATCACGCAATTTGGCGATCGCCTTATACTTCGCGTTAAGCTCAATAAGTTGGTTGTTCAGGGTATCAGCGGTTGATTCGGATTCGTGAAGCCTACCCTGAACACCAGAAAGCTCATCCTGGAGTTTGAAATTCTGGTCGTACTGGTCCTGCAGCTCCCCTTTTATCTTCACCAGCTCGGATGTTTGATTGTCGACCTTGTCCTCCAGATCGTGCTTGGAGCCGGTAGAAGAGCTTAGTTCGGCCTCAAGAGCAGAAAGTTTTTTCTTCCACGCGTCAATCTCCTTTTCCCGACCAAGGACCAGCCCCTCATAATGTTCAATCATGTCATTAAGTTCACCGTTAGCCTGCCATTATGCATGAAATCGGGATGGTGAGTCATTTCGATGAACGGCAGCATAATCGGAAAAATAAAGCGGAACTAACCCGGGATGAATGATGAGCATGAAGCAAATAGCGTTCACGAATCGCAGGGCGCCACTTGTCGAAGTCTGGCAAGATCTAACCCGATCGGGTCTTGAAGCATCGGAAAACGCTGCCTTCCTTCTCCATAGCTAAGAAGGAAGAAGAGTTGTAAAAATCGGAATCTGAATAGAGACAAAAACTTTTAAGACTGTGTAAACCACCAAACCTGAAAGCGATTTGACTTGAGGGACAAGAGCAGGCTTTAACCTCGAGGAAGCATCTCGAGATTCAGAATCTCCCTTTTTTGGAGATGCGCTCCGGGCAGTCTTTTCACTGTCGGGCTGGGAAGAGGAAGACATATCAACCGGTCGTGGAGGACCCATTGGTTCAGTAGGATGGGATGATCGAGGTGAACGGTCAGTCCGGGCCCTTGACTTTTCCCTTCGCGGGGAAGAATCACTACGAGAGGACTTGTCTCTCTTCCGGCGAACCAAGTTCTTAAGTGGTTCGTTGCTAAAATCATCTCGGGGAGGACGAGGTGAATCACAACGAGGAGATCGGTCCCTCCGAGGAGAACGTGAGTCACGACGATCGCGACGAGGAGTTAATCTGAAAGAAGCAACGGATCTGGCTCCTTCGGTGCTGCCATCATCAACCAGCAGGGTCCTACTGTAGTCCTTCTTATCTATAGAAGTCGCGAGAAACTTTTTCTTCTCCTCGCAAGCCTCAGCCATCGGCTTGGAAAGCACCTTACGCTTGGCCGCAAGGGCCCGAGATGACATCCCCTGAGTTGAGGGAGGAGGCAGAAGTTGGTGAAGTTGACCCGGTGGACTCATCCTGAGTCTGTGGTTAGCTTCTAGGAATCGTTCAAGAGTGAAAGAATTCCAAAGGGTTTCCCCTTCGAGAATTATTTTGAAGAATTTGATGAACTCTTCAGATGGGAGAGTGGAAGCGACGAAAGCTGCGAAATGAAACAACGGTTTCAGTCAATAAAGATAATAAAACAACCGGAAAAGATGTATGCGACCTAATTTCTACCAGGTTTCGCGGACCACTTCGATGGGAGTAAATCTGATAGACTTCCAATCGAAGCAGGGGTTTTCTTAATCAGGAACCAAGGGTGATGCCAATTTTCATCCTTGTTTGGAAGATGTGAAATGACGTTCTTGTTAGCATTAGGGTATGCCGAGAAATATCCTGTCTTCTTCGATGAACTTCTCACGCTTAGAAGCTCATTCAACTCGGGGACCCCTATAATGTATCCGGCTTCCGCCGCTATTGTTATAATTCCAAGTATGGTTCGGAGAAGATTGGGGGTTAATTGAGGAAGAGCGATCTCGAGAACCGCCAAGTACCGAACCAGGGCTTCGGGAAGCGGGAAGGTTAATCCGCAACCCTTGAAATAAATCTCGTACACACAGAAGTAACCATCGCGATGGCTTTCTGGGGATTCTGTGGGATCGGCTATCTGCGCCTCCGCCATAATTCCCGGTAGAATTCGGCAGAGCTCCCTCAATCGTTCGAGAGATTGAAGGGTGCAGGTGGTTCTGTAGTGCGGACCAGCAATATCATTAGGGCGGGTGCACTCGTCATTACTAGAACGCCTTTCATCGAAAGACGGAGACTCGGGTCTATCGGAATCAGAAGTCATTCGGAGGAATGAAAAATTCAAGTTTCGGCAAAGAGAAAATCGGCGAGGAAAGAGAAGAGAGGAGTTTCGATTAAAGCATAAAAGTAGAAAATGATGATGAAAAGAAGTTATCTTACACAAACTAAATGATGGAACCGCCTCGGAAGTTGTGTGGAGAGTGGGAAGGTTTTTTCCCATTTTAATAGTAATTAATCAATATACGGTCATAATGATGACAGATGTCACTCGGTTAAAAAATGGCTAGTGCCGAAATTAAAGGAGTGATGAGATTTTCGGCGGGAAATCAGAAAGATTCTCGAGCGCAATCTTTGGTCACTTGAGCATTTAAAGTCCTCCGAATTGGAATAGCACTTCGAAGAACTTGGGGGGCTAATTGTTGGTGTCGGATCCCGCACCAGAAGCCCGAGACCAACCAAAGATTGCCACGTAGTCAAGATAATGGCCCATAAAGGATAAAGCCCATTGGACCCGTGAGACGAAGGAACGGTCGTAGTGGCTATCACCACTTCGAGAATCGGAAGTGACTGCACTTCGACATGAGTTCGGTGTAGAAGACACGGGTAAGTCGGTTCAAGAACACTTGGGGCAAAAGGCGAGGCCCATGAAGATCAGAGTCAACTCAATTCAAACGTTAAGCATTAAAGTCAAAGATCAAAACGGACGCATTTAAGAGAGAATAATTGTATTTAATTAGCCATTTAAATGTCGTTTTTCTATGTATAAATATAGAGGCCAATGGCCATGTAAAGGGGACCTTTTTCTTCGAAGCAAGAAATACTATAGCAATTTTTGTAGCAATTCATAAGCTTTTTACATTCTTATTTTTTGTCCCTCAAGAATAATCTTCCCTATTAACAAAAATACTTGAGTGTGTGAATCCGACATCCACAAAACCAAACCCATAACCTCCATCCGACGATTCTTCAATCTATGCCTCAAATCGATCCAAGCTTAACCTTAATTCCAGGCTTATTCAACGATTTCGCGAAACTAATTCTCTCCTTCGTCCCTTACCCTCACATCTCTCGCATCAAATCGACCTATAAATCATGGTAAGCTTTTCTCTGTTCCAAAACCCCAATTTCACTCCGCCATAACCGAAGCAACAACAACATCAATAATCTCTCGAATCTCCTTTGTATCTTCCCTCAGGATCCTTTGATTTCGCCTCATTTTCTCTTCAATCCAGTGACTCTCTCTAAGGGAGATCGCTTGCTTCCTTTCTCTTCAATGAAGTAAAAAAAAAAATTAAAGAAAAAATTAAAAACATTTGAAAATAGACGAAGGGAGGCATCAAACCAAGTTCACTAGGGTAGTCTTCCAAAGTTTAACCACCTGACTACGACGATATATTCGTGAAGTTTTGAAAAGAGATTGTATATATATACGTAAACACCATGGGTTAAGTTTTAACTGCAGTTAGTGTTTCCGTTAGCAAAGTTAACAGTCGTTAACTCGAAGGTACAATTTTACCAATTTTTAAAAAACGAAGGTTTTAAAAGGCAACCGAAATTAACTAAGATATTTTTTTTTCAAATTTAATACTACATGAATTAAACGGCCAAAAAAAAATTAGATGGCAGTTTTTTCGGGTTTTTTATCATTTTATTTTTGGTAGGAACAAGAACCACTTATTATTATTTCAGTTTTCTGATTTTTGGAGAATATAAAATCTTTTATATCCACCGTAAATTAAATTTTAATTATTTTGTTAAAAATTAAATCTTCATTGAAAAAATATTAAAATTTTACATTAGATTAAAAAAACTTAAATACTGGAGTTTTATTCAAATTTTAAAACCACACCGTCAATTTTGCCTTGTAAAATTCGGTGGATGAATCGTCAATCGTGTGCGTTCAATTTCTCCACCGCAACCGTGAACCGGCCCTCCCCGAACTTTGAATTCCAGTTTCCACCACCCGGCGCGTGAGTACTACCGCCGTCACTTTGATCCTCCTATGGCGTTCGAAGGACTCCCACCTCTAATCGCTGACCAGCTCCACTACTTACTCAATCACTCGCCTGATTCCATCAAGGTAACAACATCTCCAATTTCACGAGATTCAATCTTCGATCATCTTCTTCAAGGTCCTGGATTTTGATTCGCCGTAGAAAGTAGAAAGTTAGGGTTTCTAAGCGTAATTGACTGATTTGTTCTATGTAGATCGAAAATGTCTGGTCTGGTAACAAGATTAATCCCAAGATTCTCGATCGCTTTACTTTGGTGATACCTTATTGTCTAGAGACTATCAAATGTAAGTGTTTTCTTCGGGTAATTACGCAACGATTTTGTCGAAGCGGATCTTTGATTTCGTGTTCTTATTGTGGCAGGGGATGTTATTTACAATTCAGAGTATCCAGTGGATCCTCCTGATTTCGTATTCGGACCAGACGACGAAGATTTTATGCCGTGTAGTGCTATTGCTCCTGATGATGATCAGATATCATCATTGAAGAAGGCTTTGTCCCAGTGGGATAACGAGGACTCGACGCGGTTACTTGTTATCATTCAAGGATTGAGGTTTTTTCCTTTTTGCCATTGTCTGTTTTAAAATTTGACGCTTCTCTGGAGGTTCGTGCTTGGCTTAGTCGATATATTCTTTAGGGATCAATATGTGGCATACCAAAGAAGGCGTGTGGGCCAAGTTGATGATGATCGCGTGAAGTTTGAGATTAGCACCGTTTTAACTCGCAAGGTATCATGCTGGTCATTCTTTTTACATTAGGAATTATTATTAGTTTTATCCTGTCTTCTAGCTGCATTTACACCTTCAAGTGATGGAAAAAAGCAAAGTTGTGGTGTGATATTATTTGAGTAGCTAAGACCTTTCGAGAATATAGATTCTGTTTAATGTTAGGCTTGCCACTAAATGATGGGTTCATAAGTAGTTTTCTTTTTGGTTTGCAACTTTTTCCTTGGGAACAACTGGAACCACCATTTTAGTTAGAACTTCTCATTGTTCTCTATGTTAATGTTTTTCTTGTTCGCCCATTCTCAGGGAATTGAAATGCAAATGGCTTCAGGAGTTGACAAGGTAATTATTGCTGTCAAGACTCTTGATCATTTCTCTGTGAAGTCAGACACCTTGGATGCATTTGACTATCTGTGACCTTTAATTTTTAGTGTAGCCAGAGGAAGTCAAGTTTGCAGTACCTCTTGTGATGGATATGAACATAAACAAAATGGTAGCGGGCTGTCCTTGGAAGCATCAGCAGAAGATTTATCTTCAGGTTTTCTTTTAGTTCCCTAAAAGTTTCCTTTTTCCTATTATTTAGTCTTTTTTACCCTCTAGCATCTTCTTGATAAACTGGTTACGGGTGCAGGTAGTATACCCGATTCTTCGAAAATATGAATCTGCACCTTCGACACCTCGTTTGAAATTAGTATCATCTTCTGATTTAAAAGCTCTATTCTCTGTTGAGGATGTTAAACTTCCTCCATGGATGGACGGGATGTAAGTTACATGCCATACACAGTTCACGTTACCTGCAAACAATACATGTATTAATCGTATATTTCTATTTCAAAGGTGCTTGGCTGAATATCTTCCTCATCTCGAAGAAACTCTTGAGAGACAAGTCAGTTCAACTAAATCTTCCTTCTTACATTTTCAAAAATGTATTTAGTTTGTGGGTATGAGTGCCTTATTAGCTTAGTTTCTAGATGGAGGAAGCTGTTTCTGCAATTGATTTAAGGAGGAGTTTTATTGAGACTTTGACTCTTTTTCTTGGAAGACCTCTTGAAGCTGATCCTGTAAGCATTTCTTCGCACGCCTTGACATAAGTTTATAAATGTTTCCAAGCTGCTTAACTTTCTTTTTTTCTTGCTAGACCTTTTGCCGTAAGGCTACATTCCTTACTGCCTCTGGACAATTTACTTTCATGGTAATTCCATCACTATTCAAGCCTTATTTATTTTTATTTTTTATACTCCAAAATGGATTTTGATTCAATTGCATTTAATCATGTTGAAACTTGTCTTCTAGAGAACTCTCAGTTTCAGAATAAATACACTAAAACCTCTATAAATTAATAATATTGGAACCTATGTATTTTACTAAATTTTATTAATTTATCGTGTTTATTAATTTACGTAGGTGATATTTAGGCCAAAATATCAATTTACGGCTGGAGAAAATTATTAATTTAACGAAGTATTAATTTATCGAGTATTAATTTATATAGGTTTTAGCTGTGGATAATTGGGTTTTTGGCTTTGATGTAGGTTCATTTCTTCTTTTCAACTCAATTTCCGAAGCAGCAACCAACCCTAATGCTTCAGAGTTGTCAGGTATCAAAACTATTTGTAAACAAACCAAATAGAAGGCTTCAGGATTCTCTTTATTTCTTTAGGTATAAAGAAATGACAAGTTTTCTGTATGCAGCATTTAAACCAATCGAGCGTGCCGGTAAAATCAAACCTCTTCACTGAGTACCCATGGAGTCCAAGATGGGAAGTGGGGCGCATGGCTGAGAGACTGTGGTTAGTCTCTTTGGACTCTTTCTTAGATGTCTCATTAACTAGTTCTCCTTCTTAACATTTAAAAGTTTACTTTTTGCAGTGACTTCCTGACCGACGAGACTGTCAACTTCAAAAAATATTGTAACGAAGCTCTACTCCAACATTAGTGTATCTATATTTAAAGTTAGTTTTGTCTAAATTTTGTGTAACACTCCTCTTGCTATTTAAACTGAAATGGAGTACTGTTATGCTTTAAGGAGAATACAATTATAAGCATTTCTTCTTGATTTCAACAAGTTTTTTCTTGGCTATAGGATTCATTGGCTCTTTTTTTTTTTTTTTTTTTTTTTTTTCTTTGTCACGGAGGATTCATTGGCTCTGTTTGCTTTTACATGTCATAAAAGTTTCGAATTTTACATGACTTCAATAGGATATTAAGAAAAGAGAAGGAAGGGAATGAGTGGGTTTGAAGAGTTTTAAAGTTCTCTAGAATTAAGTCCTAGGCTTTCTGTTACTTCTATCTATATGTAATATGTT